CCCGCGCTCGTAGGCCCCAAGCAGCTCATTGTTCTGGGGAACAAATTGGACCTGCTGCCCCAGGATGCACCCGGCTACCGGCAGCGGCTCCGGGACCGGCTGTGGGACGACTGCATTCGCGCGGGGCTCCTGCCCGCCCCTGGTCACCAGGGGCCACAACACACCGGCCGAGACGGGGATGGGGACGGGGAGAAGAACGAGAATCCGTCGGGCAGGTCCTGCACTCTGGTCAGGGACGTGCGTCTGATTAGCGCCAAAACCGGCTACGGGATCGAAGAATTGATTTCCGCACTTCAGAGCTCTTGGCGCTACCGCGGCGACGTCTACCTGGTGGGCAGTACCAACGCCGGCAAATCCACCCTCTTCAACACTCTCCTGGAGTCCGATTACTGCACCGCCAAGGGCTCTGAGGCCATCGACAGGGCCACCATCTCCCCTTGGCCAGGTGAGGCTGGGGAGGCTCGCTTGCGGGGACAGTGTCTAATACAGATTTCCTTATTGCCCGTCGTGGGCTGCCCGAAGCTGTCCCTTTACAGATTGTCACTGCTTTTAACATATCTTTCTTGTGTCAGCTGCGTGCTTGATAACTCGGTCTGTATTGTAATTTTCTAATAGAAATGTTTCTGGAGCACTTCTGGGTTCTCGTCACTAGACATTGCTACTCCTCTCTGAGATTTCCCTTGTAGCTTGCTTCTGTGCAAGTTTTTCTAGAAAGTTGTACTTACTTTTTAGTCTTCCCCACCCCTCAGTCTTACTTTTCACATCTTGAATTTATTTTTGAGACTTTTACACTAAACATATGTAACATTGGAGTGTGATTAATAGAAAATGGTGTGTGGCTGTGTTGAGAAGAAATGTCAGTTTTGCGAATTTTAAGAAACTTCTGTGCCAGGTGGAAGTGATCTCAGCATTTGGGAGGGTGAGGCCAGAGATTGTGAGTTCAGCAGCCTAGACTATATAATGAGTCTCAAAAGAAAATTTTTTTGTAATTGAAAAAATGGGTCTTTTATGATTCTGCTTAAAGTTGATAAAACTGTCATATTTCGTTTTTTGTTGTTTTTTTAGGTGTCATGTTTGTTTTATGTCTTGCACTTTGGTTGAATTACACACAGAATTGTCCACAGTCGTACTAACCTCAGTCCACCTGATCATCTAAATTCAGCCCAAATTGTGTAGGGGATCGTTAGGTGAGAATGGGATTAAATCAGGCATTCAAATACTGGATTAGACTGAGCCAATCCATGGCCTAAATCCTCATTTGTAAAGTAGGAGTAATCTTATGGATGGTTGCCATGAAAATTAAATGAAATAAACTGCAGTAGCAAACTGTGTAGGTTCTCAGAAATGCTTGTTTTCTTCCTCTTATTTCTGGGGGTTTTGTTTTTGTTTTTGTTTTTGTTTTTTTCTGAGTCGGGGTCTTGAGCTATGTAGTTAAGGCTGGCCTCATCAATCTACCTGCCACCAGGCCCGGTTTTAAAACCATTTATTTGGAATTTCAGGTACCACATTAAATCTTCTGAAGTTTCCTATTTGCAACCCAACTCCTTACAGGATGTTTGAAAGACAAAAAAGACTTAAAAGCGATGCAAGTAAATCAGAAGAAGATCTTAATGAGCAAGAACAAAATCAATTGAATGTCTTGAAAAAGCACGGTTATGTAGTAGGTAAGATTCCCCTGGGAAACCTTTCCCAGCGCTGCACTAAAGAACCTTGTAAGAACCTGCGCACAGCTGTGTGGAACCAGCCCATTTCTGTAGAGACCTGCCTCATCCTAGAGCAGAAGCCCTCTTAGAGGCATGTGTGGTACTGTTGGGAAACCTAGGTCAAGACAGCTGGTAAAGGCCACTGACTATGCTGAGCTTCAAATTAAGTTAATTAGTTTCTCTGTTCTTGGTGTCTCTTTTCAGCCTTACTTTTTAAAAACAAACAGCTCCTCTCTGTTTGTTTGTTTAATAAATTGTATTCCTTCCCCCTCAAGTCCCCTCCCCTATGTACTGAAGCTTTGTTTCCATTTTCCCTTCTATTTGCACTTCTCTTCTCCTCCCTTCTTTCCTTTCTCCCTCCCTCCTCCCTTGTTCCCCTTTCCGTTTCCCAACATCCATTGTACATTTGTCCTTATTTCCACTTTCAGTTTCTCGCAACCAGAGAAACAATGTGGTATTTAAACATGTGTGTCTAATTTATTTCACTTGAGTATGGTCTCAAGGTCCATCCATTTAGCTATAAACGTCTGAAGCTTATCCTTTATGGCAGAGTGGTACTCCACTGTGTAAAAAAACCAGGGATTTAGCTCAGTGATTCTGCTGTCTGCCTTGGAAAAGCAAGGACCCGAGTTTTCTAACATCACCCACTTCATTGTATACAGCCAGCTACACACTTGATCATTATAAAACTGATTCCCACTACCTGGGCCAGGGGAGCGGCGAGGAGAGCCCAAATATCCTTACAGCCTCACTTCCACTTACACTGTAATTAGTCATCGTAACTTGTTTGAGACAAACATAAAAATCTTCTGGCTGCCAGGCAAGGTGGTGCATGCCTGAGGCACAAGCATGACAAGTTAAAGGCCAGCCTATGTTGACCCTATCTTAAAAATGCCTGGGGATGTAGCTCAGTGATGGTGTGCTTTCCTAGTGTGCATGAGGCTGTAGGTTCAGTCTCCAGTGCTGAAAAAAATAATAATAAAAACTGTCTGGAGTCAAAAGCATTAAAGTGGTGACTGATAACCTCAATATAATTTGTTCTAGGAAGAGTTGGAAGAACATTCTTGTATTCAAAAGAACAGAAGAATGAATTTGAGTTTGATCCTGATTCACTTGCCTTTGACATGGGAAATGAGCCTGTTGCAGCTGTGGACAAACCCATCAAACGAGTAGAATTGACCCCACAAGATGTAAAAGATGCTCACTGGTTTTATGACACCCCTGGAATTACGAAAGAAAACTGTGTATGTATTTGTTTTCTTTAGTAACATTTACCCTAAATTGCAGAAGTTACTGCCCTAATTGGTAGTAAGAAAATGGTGTATTTCCATTTCAGATTCAGTTCTGATTCATTCATAAAAGTTCAGGGATGAATCCACATGCCATTGAGTTCTCCATTCATATGGTCAACTTCAGTGAATGCAACTTACTTGTATTATCGTGTGGTTCTTACCCTAGTTAGGGAGACATTTACTGGATTCCAGATGGGAGAAATCATAAATATCTCTGCAGTCCAGTTTATTTTGAGACAGAGTTTTGCTAAGTTGCCCCAGCTGGTCTAAAACTTTTGATCCTCCTGCCTCAGCCTCCTGAGTAGCTGGGATTAGGTGAGTGCCGCCACACCCAGCCTTGTTTGCAGTTTTGATCTTTATCCAAGTCAGTCATCTGCCCTGATGTGCTTTCAGGACACAGTCTCGAAATGGTTCCATTGATCATTTCCTTTCCTCTGGCCACTTGAATTCCACCTCCCTCATTATCTTTCTAGCTCCCTGTGAAGCAAGGTTGACTTCTTGGATACCTTTCTCTCCTTTGCTTGATCAGATTCACATACAGTTAAACTCTCAGAAGTGTATTGCTGCCTGGTGCAATTACATCTGTAATCCCAGCACTCAGGAGGCTAAGGCAGGAAGATTGCTGAAAGTTCAAGGCCAGCTTGGATTACATAGCAAGATTGTCTTAAAAAAAAAAAAAGGAAAAACAAAAATTTACTTGCAGCCCCTTTCTTTCGTTTTTTTTGTTTTGTTTTGTTTTGTTTGTTTTTTGTTTTTTTTGTACCAGGGATTGAACTCAGGACCTTGCACTTGCAAGGCAGGTAGCGGAACCACTGAGCTAAATCCCCAACCCTTGCAGCCCCTTTCTCACAAATTTTTATCTGAAATGCTGGGACCAAAAGTGTCAGATTTTCGAAGGTTTGCATGGAGTTTACCAGTCCAGCATCTGAAAATCCAAGGGATTTGAAACATTTTAGATTTAGGATTTTCAGGCTCAAATGGTTTTTGTTTTTTAAAAGTAAAAGATGATTTATTTGAAGAAGGGAGGAAGAAAGAGGGAGATGGCAGACAGCTACACTGGATGTGTAGAAAGTATTTGAAAGGGAAATACTCTCAAACCTTTTTTTAGTTTGGTTTTGGTTTTTGTTTTTCCCTTGGTACTGGGAATCAAACTCAGGACCTTGCTCTGTGTGTGTGTGTGTGTGTGTGTTTGTGTGTGTGTGTGTGTGTGTGTGTGTGTGTGTGTGTGTGTGTGTGGTACTGGGGTTCAAACTCAGGCCCTTGTGCTCAAAAGGCAGGCAGTGGAACCACTGAGCCAAATCCCTGGTCCAAGAGGACCTCATTCTTATCAGGCAGATGCAGTGCCACTGAGCTACATCCCCAACCCCAGCTTAGTTTTTGTTTTTGTTTTTGTTTTTTTAATTTTTTTTTTATTTTTGTGAGAAAAGGTCTATATGTAGCTCAGGCTGGCCTCTAACTTGGAATCCTGCCTCATCCTCCTGAATGCTACATCAACCTGTATTTTCTTGTGAGCCTCTCTTTGTGTTGTTACTTTTTATTTCCTTTTTATTAACTATATTCACAAGTTTTTGGTCTACTTTGTGTGTGTGTGTGTGTGTGTGTGTGTGTGTGTGTTTGTGTAATGGCATAGTTTTAATAGAATCAGTCTTCACAAAATAATACTTTAGGCTAGCAAGTATATAAGTTTTGGGTATTTTTGTTTGGTTGGTTTCTTGAGACGGGCTTGCTATGTAGTTTAGGCTAGTCTCAAACTCAGTATTCTCCTGCCTCAGCCTCCCAAGTGCTTGGATTACAGGCATGCACCACCATGCCCAGTGGGTTTTTGATTTTTTTAAGACAGTCTCATAATGTAGCCACAACTCATGGTGGTTCTTCTGCCTCAACATGAGATTTTAGGAATGAGTCACAATACCCACTCATACATAAATATTTTACCCAAGTACAAATGTGTTTTTGGGTTTTGGTTTTTTGTGGTGATAGGGATTGAACCTAGGACCTCACACGTACTAGGCAAGCCCACGAGCACTGACCTATACTCACACTCCTTTGAGATCAGATCTCACTAGGTTACCCAGGCTGACCTCAAATTTGCAGTCCTCCTGACTTAGCTTCTGGAGCAGCTGGGATTACAACTGTGTGTCACCATACCCAGCCCAAGTACAAATGTTAAAAAGAGAGTAATGGAAAAAAATAAAAACCAAGATATATCATGTAAAGGTACAAATTACCAAAGATGAATGTCATCATATAACTAAAACATACCAATAAATGAAAAAAGTAACATAAGCAATTGCCCATTAAAAGTAAATAGGTGTGGTAGGTTATTTTCTTAAGTCGTTTTTACAGCACAGTGAATTATAATTTCCTATCAATGTAATGTTGCCAATCTAAGAATAAATTTTGAGCTGGGCACCATGGCAGATGCCTATATTCCTAGTAACTCAGGGATAAAACCAGAGAATTTCAAGGCCAACCTGGGCAAGATAGTGAGACCCCATCTCAAAATAAACTGAATTTGAGAGATGTCAGCACACTGAGGTAACACTAAAACCTGAATGTTACAGTTTTTTTAAGCTACTGCCTTTTTTTTCTTTCTTTCTTTCTTTGTTTTTTTTGTTTTGTTTTGTTTTGTTTTTGTGTGTGTGTGTGTGTGTGTGCTAGGGATTAAACTTGGGATCTTGTGCATTCTAATAAAGGGTTTACCGTGGAGGTACACCGTCAGTCTTTTTCTTTTTTTAACACATCCCCACCAGCTTGTACAGCCCAATGGGACTGTCCCATGCCATGCCACTCAGTGGGACAGTCATGTATGTACCACTGATGGTTCAAGCTGGTGAGAATACAGCACATTCAAATCAGAGCTGCCTAGCAACAAGACATGAATTATGGCCCCATTGTGAACATATTAATCAGATTTTTTTTCTTAAATCTTACCAGAAGCTGGACGTGGCGACACACCTGTAATCCCAGCACTCAAGTGGCTGAAGCAGGAGGATCACTGTGAGTTCAAAGCCAGCCTTGGCTACATAGTGAGCTCAAGGCCAGCCTGAACAACATAGCAAGACTGCCTCCAAAAAAAAAGAGATTTAGCTCAGTGGTGCCATACCTGCCTTGCAAGCACAAGGTCTTGAGTTCATTCCCCAGTACCAAAAGGGGGGAAGAAAAGTCCAGAAAGGCTAGGAATGTAACTCAGTGGTAGAGCGCTTACCACAGAAGGAATAAACCGTGCTCGCTTCGGCAGCACATATACTAAAATTGGAACGATACAGAGAAGATTAGCATGGCCCCTGTGCAAGGATGACACGCAAATTCGTGAAGCGTTCCATATTTTTTAAGTCGCACATGTATAAATACCGAATAGTTTCCCGGTGTAAATAATCTACAACAATGCATAAGATTCTAATAAGATTACTGACATTTAGAAATGGGAAGAAAGTAGCTAAAAGTGTAGGGAAGGTGGGATGGGTAGGAGAAGAGTAAAAAGGGAAAAGAAAAAAATGTGAGAGAATGAAAAGATGGAAATAAAGTGGTTGTAGATGGGGAGGGGAGGAGGGGGTGAAGGGAGGGCAGAGGTAAGGGGAAAAAATGAGAATCAAGACTTGTCATGTAGAGGTACAAGATCCCAACAATGAATGTAACTGTACTGTATCCCTAAAATGTACCAATAAACTCAATTAAAGCTGGAAAAAAAAAAAAAGGAGGAATAAACCAAAAGAAAACTGGGGGAGGGGGAGCATCGAAATCATATTCTCTGTCTTTCCTTTTCCATTTTTTTCTACTCTCTTTAAGAACTCTTCATTCCATTTGGGCATGGCAGAGCGTACCTGTAATCTCAGGACTCTAGGAGGCCTCATGAGGTAGGAGGCTCACAATTTCTAGCCCAACCTGAGCAATTTAGCAAGACACTGCTTCACAATTTTAAAAAAGGACTGGATATGTAGCTCAGTTCATCTTTAATGCTGAAGAGGAAAAATTGTCACTCCCACAAATCACAAGATTCCCTAGTTTCTCTCATTTTTCTGCCAGATATTCCAAGAAAATAAGGATGTTGCAGTTCAGAATTTAGAAGTTCTTAAAGCTCTTGACCTGCTCCTAGAGTAGGGTGACCATTTGTATTTCATGTGTGCACACCCACCACAAGGTCACCCCATTAAGCTGCAAACTATTCCCCTGCGCCCCTGCCCCGTGACCTCATGCATGCATTTTATCTCTGGGTATTGCACTGCAGTATTTCAGGTTCTCTTTGGGGGTTTTTTTGTTGTTGTTTTTTGGTACAAGGAATTGAATGGGCCCTTGAGCTTGCAAGCTGGCACTGGAACCACTGAGCTAAATCGCCCAGCTGCAGTATTTCAGGTTCACACCGACGGTGACGTGGGGGATGCTGCAGTTGGACACAGGAAAGTCTCATATACCTTTAAAGTAACTTTGCCACTGCCCTCCACGAGTATGTTGAGATTAATTTAAATGGTGTATGTAATTTTTGTGTGTGGCTAGCTGATATAATTTAGTTTTTTATCATTTTATAGGCAAACCAAAAATGACGTTCTTTTCAATAAAAATAATTCTAAAAAATGTGTCATTTCCTTCACAGATTTTAAATCTTCTAACAGAAAAAGAAGTAAGTATTGTTTTGCCAACACATTCCATTGTTCCAAGAACCTTTGTGCTTAAACCAGGAATGGTTCTCTTTCTGGGTGCCATAGGCCGCATCGATTTCCTGCAGGTAAGGAAAAGTCTGCACCATGGAAAAGTAAGTCTGTGGGGAGGCAGGAGAATTGAGGACTCAAAGCCAGCCTGGACTGTATGTGAAAAATGAAAAGAGTAAGCATTAGAATGCACTTTCACCGAGTATATACATAAACAGGACTGGCAAAAAGTTGATACAGATAAGTCATGATTGGGCTAGGGATTTAACTCAGTGGTGTTGCTGACTGCCTTGCAAGCGCAAGGTCCTGAGTTCAATCCCCAGTACAAAAAAAAAAAAAAAATACAAAGACAAATAAGTCATGACTGTAGACAGAGTTTCTTTTTATTTTTCTTTTTTTATAACACTTCCCCCCAAATAAAATGTCCTAGGGTTTTTTGGTTTTTTTTTTTTTTCTTTTTCCTATTTCCTATTTCCTTATGTTTATTGTTTAGGTTGTTTTGTTTCAGTTTGTATTTTGAGACAAGATCTGAATATGTGGCCCATGCTGTGCCACCATGGCCAGCGCAAGTCTGTTGCCAAGCGTGGCAGCACATGCCTATAATCCCAGCACTTGGGAGGCTCAGGCAGGAACATCACAGCAAGTTCAGGGCTAGCCCGAACTGACTGCATCATGAGGCCCTGTATCAAAAAAAACTTAATCATTAGTGGAATTCTTAATGCCCCATGTGGTTTAGCAATTAAGACAAGATATGTCCCTTTCCTCTTGTTTCACATACAAATCATAAGATCAAGCCTTTAGAACCAGGCTAATTAAATTAATTTTGTGCTTAATATCCCATGATATGAATCTCTTGTACTTATTTATAGGCATTAATATAGTGTGATTATAGCTACTGCCATATCAGTTCTTCCAAAGGTTACCTGATTTGGTTCATTTTTATTGTGTCTTGTAACCTGGGTTCCCAAATTTTTCATGTGTAGAATAACTTCTTTCCTCCTGTCCTTAGGGAAATCACTCAGCTTGGTTTACAGTTGTGGCTTCCGACTTCCTCCCAGTGCATATTACTTACCTGGAAAAGGCAGATGCTGTGTATCAGAAGCACGCAGGTCACTCATTGCTCCAGGTAAGGCAACACAACTGGGTAGCTGCGCTGTGGTAGTTGGTACACCTGCAATGGTCCCACAGCCTGAGGACTCTGTACACAGAGCCATCTGTTACAGTGCGTCAGCTGGCTTCTCTCCCCTCAGTGTCAAGAATTCTGGCTGTAGAGTGAAGTGGGCTTTATATGAAAAGGGATGTTGGCTTGGCCTGATCTTAGAAAAGCTACAAGTCTGTGTGTTCTCTGGACTAAATTGTCCAGTATGGAAGCCACTGCCCACGTGGCTATGAGTTAAAATTACATTAGTTAAAATTCGATAAAATTTAAAACAGTTCCTTAGTGACCCTAGGATACTAGCCACCATTCAATCCCTTGTAGCCCCACCATGCAGTCCACCGTGCTGGACAGTGCTGAGCAGGGAGAGGTTACAGATTCTGTCATAGCTGGGGAACCCCACTGACATCCAGTGGGGCCACAGATGTTCCACATCCTGCAGTGCACAGGGGGCCTCACCACAGAGTGATACAGGCCCAGAGGGCAGTCATGGTACAGAAGCCCTGATATGAGTAGAAAGTGTTCTTGCAGTGGCGGGGAGCATTCTTTTTCTTTTTGGTACTGGGATTGAACCCAGGGAGCACTGAGCTAAATCCCTGGACCGTTTTTGGTACCAGGGATCAAACTCAGAACCTTGAGCTTGCTAGGCAGGCACTGTGCCACTGAGCTACATCCCCTGCGCTTTTTAAATTGTTATTTTTAATTTTTTTTTGGTACTGGGGATCAAACTCGGGACCTTGCACTTGCCAGATAAGTACAGCGACCCTGAGCTACATCCCCAGCCCTGGCCCTTATATTTTTAATTTGAGATAAATCTCTAGATTACCCAGGCTGGCCTTGAGCTTGCAGTCCTGTGCGCTACCACACTTGGCTCCCCCCAGATTCTTAGTGCCAGGCACTCATTTTACATATTACCCCTCCTCTTTTGTTTTATTTTGTTTTTTTGTACTGGGGATCAAATTTGGGTCCTTGTGCTTGCAAGGCAGGAAGCTGAACCACTGAGCTAAATCCCCGGCCCATCCCTTCCTCTTGTTTCCAGCTCTCCTAGTGCCTTTCTTTGGCATATAAATATGTTAGAGTCATTCTCATCTTTAAATTTTAAAAAAGTAGAAAACTCCAATGACCTGCTCATCCCTTCTCTTTACAGTCCAGCAAAACTGTGTACTTTAATGCCGATTTCCTCTACCTCTCAGTATACCTAGCTCATGAGACAGAGAAGATTAAGTGCCAGGGCAACATTCTAAGAGCTGTATTCACACAAGTATTTGTGGTGGTAGTGATGATAATGAGACGTATCTGCTGCAGAAATGCCAAGTGTGTCCAGTGCATCAGTGAATACTACTTAGTGCACAGAGAGGTGTGGTGGCACACTCCTGTCATCCTGGCACTCTCAGGAGGGGTTCAGGTTTGATGCCAGCCTGGGCTACATAGCAAGTTCAGGGCAGACTAGGGTACATAACAAGACCCTGTCTCATCAAATCAAAAAGCAACAAAACCAGGGCCAGGGATTTAGCTCAGTGACACCAGGCCAGCTTCGCAGGTACAAGGTCCTGAGTTCGATCCCTGGTACTGGGGGAAAAAACCAAACAAACAAAAACAAAGTATTAGTGCTCATGCAATGGAAAATAATTAGCGGGGGGATACCAGGCCTTGAACTCAGGACCTTGCGCTGACTTTCTTCCTGATCTCCCAAACCAAAGTCAGTTCTGCCTCCTAATTATCTCTAGATCCATCCTGGTAGTTGAAGCTGTTACCATTGCACTATTCTTGAAATCTTTTAAATATTTTGCCAGTGTCCAGTTTTTTGGCTTTGTTTTATTTTGGTAGTACTGGTGATTGAATGAATCCAGGGCCTTCCCACTGAGTTACAAACTCTGCTTTTTTTTTTTTTTTAATTTTTAGACAGGGTCTCGCTAAGTTCCCCAGGCTAGGCTTGAACTTGGAATGCTCCTGCCTCAGCCTCCCAGAGTGCTGGGATTACAAGCATGTGCCACTATACCTACCTCTCCAAAACCAGTTTTTATTCCCCTCATCCTCCCTCACCACACTTTACTCCCAGATGTATACCTCCACAGCTCTCAACCTCCTCCTCCCTGGAGGTCATTTGACAAGACCTGGAGGCATTTTTGAGTTTTATAAGTTAAGGTCTGCTTGAGACCAGAGATGCTGCTAAACATCCTACCATGCATATAACAACTAAGGTATTGAGAAGGACTGTGTCTCAATTGCCCAACATTGCTGCATCTGTATTAATTGGCTTTCTCAATGGGAAACAGTGCCCAACCCCCACAACATAAAGGAGGAGAGGTTTAATTTGGCTCATCTTTCAGGGCATTCAGACTGTGGTTACCTGGCTCCAAAGCTGAAACATAGCAAAGGGATATGATGGAGTAAAGATATTTAGTTCATGGCAGCCAGGAAGCAGAACAGGGAAATAGTGCCAGAGGTGAAGGAACCAGAGACCACATATATTACCCAAGGTCATGCCTCTGTGACCACCCACATACACCCAGAAAGGTGTTTTAGTAATCCCCTAGGAGGTCCCAGACCAACCAAGATACACAATTAAACTTGAACACATTCTGCCCCTTGTAAACTTGACAGCTAAACTTTTACATCTTATTAAACCATACTTAATCTCCAGATATGCACAGATCATAATTCCACTTAACACGATACAGCTAGCCTGCATATAAGCAAAACAATAATCCCTTCTCCCAAACTCCCTACAGTCCCTGCACAGCTAAAAAGTCCTCAGATCAATCTCCTCTGAGATGTTGAGCAAACTCTTAGATGTGATTCTTACAAGATTCAAAAGCAGGTTTTATATTCCCAGTATACAGTGGACCCTTGACTTACAAACTCATGGGTTCCCGGGGGCTACTTTAACTAAGTCAGTACACCTGAGATCTTGATGTTTACCTGGGTACACACTATAAATAACAAGAGGCGATGAATCTTCCGTTAACCTAATTAACCCAAGTTGTTCATATGTCAGGCCAATCGTAACTTGAGGGCCTACCGTATAATGGTACAAAGTAAACATGCACATCCTAAAAGGGAAGAAGATAGAAAAGAATCAGAACAAAGCAAAGCTGAAACCCAGCAGGGTAAATATTAAGTCCTATAGCAACTGGGGTACAGGATGGTGAGATGTGAGTTCCAAAGGGCTTGGGCAGCCCCACCTCCATGGCCTTGCTGGTTGTGGCCCACATGGCCTGTCTAACCTGGCCCTGTTTATGGCCTGTTGCTTTCCTGAGCAAACACTCCACATCTGGACTCTCTGCTGCATCTTTAGCTTCATTCTCATGGCTTCATGCACTTTTTAATCTCCAGATATGCACAGATCATAATTCCACTTAACACGATACAGCTAGCCTGCATATAAGCAAAACAATAATCCCTTCTCCCAAACTCCCTACAGTCCCTGCACAGCTAAAAAGTCCTCAGATCAATCTCCTCTGAGATGTTGAGCAAACTCTTAGATGTGATTCTTACAAGATTCAAAAGCAGGTTTTATATTCCCAGTATACAGTGGACCCTTGACTTACAAACTCATGGGTTCCCGGGGGCTACTTTAACTAAGTCAGTACACCTGAGATCTTGATGTTTACCTGGGTACACACTATAAATAACAAGAGGCGATGAATCTTCCGTTAACCTAATTAACCCAAGTTGTTCATATGTCAGGCCAATCGTAACTTGAGGGCCTACCGTATAATGGTACAAAGTAAACATGCACATCCTAAAACGGAAGAAGATAGAAAAGAATCAGAACAAAGCAAAGCTGAAACCCAGCAGGGTAAATATTAAGTCCTATAGCAACTGGGGTACAGGATGGTGAGATGTGAGTTCCGAAGGGCTTGGGCAGCCCCACCTCCATGGCCTTGCTGGTTGTGGCCCACATGGCCTGTCTAACCGGGCCCTGTTTATGGCCTGTTGCTTTCCTGAGCAAACACTCCACATCTCGACTCTCTGCTGCATCTTTAGCTTCATTCTCATGGCTTCATGCACTGCCCTCAAAAGGGCTCTGTGCCTGGCCTGTCACAAAGGGCTTCCTTTGAAATCTGGGTAGAAACCTCCCTGACCCGACAGCTCTTGCACTCTGCATCCCTGTAAAACCAGCAACATGTGAACAATGCCAGCATCTTCCACCAGCTGAAGAAGTAGCCAGGACCAGCTTTGGTGTCTGCTTGGCTGAACATGGTGAAGTGAATCCTAAGGAACTAACTCCCAAGGTGGCCCTTCTCAAGCAAGGTCCCAGGGACTCAAAGGAAAGGCCGACACTTTTTTACCTTGAGGCTGTGATGGGAGGGGACTTGCTGATTTCTAAGATCCCTCAAGGCATCTTTCTTGTCCATGTAGGAAGTATTTGGTTTCTTCTTAATGGTACTGATCTCAACAGCCACACTTCCTTTGACCCAAAGTTAAAGGAGAAAAGGTTTATTTGGCTTATAGTTCATAGAGATTTCAGTCCATAGTCGCCTGGCTCCAAGGTAGAGAAGCATCACAGAGCAGAAACAATCCATGGCAAAGCAGGTGGGCAGAAGGCAGCAAGCAGTAAGTGACAAGCAGTGACACTTTCTGTCCCTTATATCCTATCCACCCTTAAGGCAGGTAGCACTCACACCCACGGTGGGGCACCCTTGATACCACTCAGAACTGTGTCTAACCAATGAGTGCACTAATTTAGTAATCACACACCCTTGGTCCCAACATCACACTTTTGGAGGGAGCTGAGTTATATTATCAGTTTTTTTATCATTATTTTTATTTTTTAATTAGGCCGACACTTTTTTACCTTGAGGCTGTGATGGGAGGGGACTTGCTGATTTCTAAGATCCCTCAAGGCATCTTTCTTGTCCATGTAGGAAGTATTTGGTTTCTTCTTAATGGTACTGATCTCAACAGCCACACTTCCTTTGACCCAAAGTTAAAGGAGAAAAGGTTTATTTGGCTTACAGTTCATAGAGATTTCAGTCCATAGTCGCCTGGCTCCAAGGTAGAGAAGCATCACAGAGCAGAAACAATCCATGGCAAAGCAGGTGGGCAGAAGGCAGCAAGCAGTAAGTGACAAGCAGTGACACTTTCTGTCCCTTATATCCTATCCACCCTTAAGGCAGGTAGCACTCACACCCACGGTGGGGCACCCTTGATACCACTCAGAACTGTGTCTAACCAATGAGTGCACTAATTTAGTAATCACACACGCTTGGTCCCAACATCACACTTTTGGAGGGAGCTGAGTTATATTATCAGTTTCTTCATTATTTTTATTTTTTAAGAAAATTTTACTTTATCCCATTTCTCCTCTCAAGCCCCCTCCCCTCCCTATGTACAAAAGTTTGTTTCCATTTTTCCCCTCTATTTTCACTTTTCTTCTTGTCCCTTCACTTCTCCCTCCCTTCTCCCTTGTTTCCCTTCCCACTTAAACACTTTCTTACCATTTTCCAACATCCATTATACATTTCAGTCCTTATTTCCACAGTTTCTCACACCAGCGAAAGAATGTAGTATTTAAATATGTGTATCTGATGTATTTCCAGCATCACACACTCTAGATCCAGCCACCTCTGAAAAGCCCCACCTATGACTGAACAAGGCTTTGGAGAGACATCTAGACATAAGCCATTATAATCCCCAGCCCTTTTAAAAAATTTGTTTTTTGCCGGGTGTGGTGGAGCACGCCTGTAATCCCAGCACTCGGGAGGCCGAGGCAGGAGGATCTCTGAGTTTGAGACCAGCCTGGGCTACATAGTGAGTTCCAGGTCAGTCTCAACTACATAGTTGAGACCTCGTCTCAAAAAACAAATAAAAAAAATTTTCTTGTTTCTTGTTTTTTGGTATCAGGGATCAAACTCAGGACATTTTGCTTGTAAGGCAGGAGTGGCACCACTGAGCTAAATCTCTGGCCCTAGCCCTTTTTAAATTTTGAGACAGTCTTGCTGAGTTATCCAGGATGATCTTAAACATGTCCTGCCTCAGCCTCCCACAGTGCTGGGATTATAGGTATGCTCCTCCAAGCCCAGCTTAGTCTACTACCCATAATCTTAGTTTCCCACAAAGTCTCAGAAAATGAGTAAACTATTACATAAATGTTTGCCATAGTGTAATACACATGGTCTCTAGTCCAGTTGCCAAGGAAATTCTGGTTCCCCGCTGAAACTGAGCCTGGCCTTTACTGTCTGCATTCCTGTCAGCATTCTGTTTTTTTGAGCTCTAACCAATCCTTTCCACCATCTTCCTGCAAACCAACTCCAGTGGCTTCCAAACTGCGTCATCAGGTTCAGGCATAGCGGTAGCTCCTCTCTCAGTACCAGTTTTCTGTATTAGATTTCCTGTCACTAGGACACAATACTCATCACCCACACTTCATGAAAGAAAGGTTTGGTTTAGCTCATGGTTTCAGGAGATTCAGTCTATGGTCAGCTGGCTCCAAAAGCATAAATATGACAGAAGGGCTTTATGGAGTGGAGATGCTTAGTTCATGGTGCCAAAGAATCAATGTAGGGGAAAAATGCGAGAGAGGAAAGGGCCAGGGAATGTATGTATACCCAAAGTTCCATGTCTGGGACTTACCAGATAGCTAGAAGAGTGCTTTAGTAATTCCCTAAGCAGCTCCCAAGCCAATCAACTTGACACAATTAAGCTTCCCCACACTTTGCAAAGCCCAATCAATGAAGGCCTATAAAATTAGTGTAAATAAACCACAATGCCCATGTCTGTTTATTGCTGCCAGGTGCATGGCTGTTACAGCTTATATATCTAGATGTCCCCACAAAGCCTCCTGCTCATAGGTGGGGCTTTTGGAAGCAGCTGGATCTAGGGTATGCTAAATGTGGATTAAGAGTGTGATAACTAAATTAGTCCAGACTATTTAGCACAGTTCTGGGTACGGATAATGGGAAGGCCCGCCCTGGGTTTGCGTGGAACCGGCCAACAGGCTTATAGCATGGACGTATTAAAAGGGAAAGGGAGGCTCACTGCTGCTGCTGGCTGCCTCCTGCCTGCCTGCCTGCCTGCCATGGACTTTGTTTGCCTTTCACCCTGCCTTAGAGCCAGCCGACTATGGACTGAAACCTCTATAAACCCAGCTAAAGTAAACCTTTCCTCCTTTAACTTGTGGGTGTTGGGTATTTTGTCCCAACAAGGACACAGTAACTAAGGCAATACCCAACAATGGCCCTAGGCTCTCGGATCTGTGGTTTCCATCTCATCACAGAGCTTTCATTCTTTTTTACAACAGCTGCAAGTTTAGGATTTTATTCTTGACCCTGGTACAGAATTATCAGTGATTAACATATTACAGCTGCAGAGAACCTACTTGCACTTTGAAGCATCTTCATTTTATTTCATTGGAAGGTTCCAATGGGTGGAGAAGAACGAATGGCAGAATTTCCTCCTCTTGTTGCTGAAGACATTACATTAAAAGAAGGACTTGGAAGATCTGAAGCAGTGGCTGACATCAAGTTTTCCTCTGCAGGTAATTTTACACACCAAGCACTGTTTTTTGTTTTTGTTTTTGTTTTGTTTTGTTTTGTTTTGTTTTTTTGAGACAGGGTTTCACTTTGTAGTTCAGGCTGGTCTCGAACTCACTGTGTAACCCAAACTGGCATGAACTCACAGCAATCCTCCTGCCTCAGCCTCCTAAGCACTGGAATTACAGGTGCGCACACCACCATGCCCAGTTCAAGCACCTTTGTAAAAAGTAAATAAAGGACCATCAATTTAGCTCAGTGGTTCCACCGCCTGCCTCACAAGCACAAGGACCCGAGTTTGAACCTCAGTAGCCAAAAAAAAAGAAAATATACAAGTCAGCAAGACTACTTTATTTCCTTTGTTTTTTTTCCTTGGTACCAGGGATTGAACTCAGGTCCTTACGCTTGCAAGGCAGGCAGCAGAACCACTGAGCTAAATCACTGGTCCCTGAAGGATGCCTTTATTTTAAGAAATATATGTAATTTTATTCATTAAAGGCAGCCTATTCTGAAAATTAATTTGTACTTCTCACAAATGCATTGTTTGCTTTTTTTTTTTTTTAATAGAGAAAAAGAAAGCACACTAACCCTCTTTGTTGCTCCATTTGGAGTGTTGCTTTGGAGTTTTGGGGATTTTTTTGGTTTGTGTTTTTTGTTGTTTCATTCATTTTTGTGGGGACGGGTACTGGGGATCAAACTTGGGTCCTTGCATTTTCAAGGCAGGCAGCAGAGCTAAATCCCTGGCCCTCTTTCATTCTTTTGTTATTGTTTTTCACTTGCTGTAGTGCTCTTAATGAGGTAGTTGCTAACAGCATTCTGTGTCTATCATGTGCCTTGTAGGTTGGGTTGCAGTAACGCCTCATTTTCAAGACAGACTACATCTCCGAGGCTATGCACCTGAAGGAACAGTTCTGACTGTCCGGCCTCCTCTCTTGCCATACATTGTTAACATCAAAGGAGAACGAATCAAGAGAAGTGTGGCTTACAAAACCAAGAAACCTCCTTCCCTTGTGTACAATCTGCAGAAGAAGAAAAACAAATAAATATGTGAGATAGACCTGGTTCACAGCGGATGTAAACTATATTAGACGGTAGTAATAGCCACTGAAATTGCAGTATATATAGGTATAATAAACTCCTGCCACTCTTTCTAAGGGTATAATGTTGACTTTTTTAAGGACTGTGCTTGCAAGGCAGGTGGTAGCACCACTGAGCTAAATCCACACTTCATAGCCTGCAACAGTTTGAGTGTACTTTAAATTCTGCCTACCAAACCTCTTTGTGCCTTTTAAAGGGTTGGAGTGATCCCAGGTAGTCAGAAAGCTGAAGTAGATTCCAGAACAGCCTGGGAGATTTAGGGAGATACGACTAGAAAAGTAGATTTTAAAAAAAGTCGCCTAGCATGAATGAGGTTCTGGGTTCAGTCCACAGTAGCAGAAGAAAGGGAGGAGGGGAGGCATTGCACACATCAGTTCAGAGTCCATTAACCAACAGTCACATGGCCACACCCACCCGCATAGAAGCTGGGAAGGGAGGGATGTGGGAACCATGTGGGGTTTTTATTGGGGACGGAGGGAGAGTGGCTAGAGAACAAGTAGGAAATTACCTTTTAAAGTGCCTGAAAGTCTTAGATGAAAGAGCATCCCGACTCCTGTGGTTCTGCTCCACATCTAAGCACATTAGCCATGTATTAGTGTTTGTCTTTATGGAACAGAGGTCTTTACCTTTTGTTACGTAATCCCCTCCCATGTACATCCTGCAGCTGTGTACAATGAATGTGCAACACATGAAGTGCCAGACCCCAGTGCAGAAATAAAAGCTCGTGGGATAGTTGGACTGAAAATAGGGCTGGGGATTTAGCTCTGTGCTGAATCCTCTCCTGAATCTCACCACCTTCCTCTTAAGCGCAAAGTCCCGAGTTAGAGCCCCTGTACCAAATAAATAAAAATAAAATACAGTTACATAGATGAGCAAGAGACCCATGTTCTCACCCCTCTGTACCTCACAGTCACCTGTCTACTCCCCATCCCCAACATCTTCCCCCTCCTTCAGTGCTCTGAAGTATAAGGGGGAATAAAGATGTAACGTGTGACTTTGTAGATCTCATTTTCATAGTGTTTCAAAGTGAGTTCCCTTGGTATCTTGGTCAAGTCTGTTCTTCAAGTATTCAACTGCATTTCAAAAATAAAATTACCCGGTGTTGATGGTGCATGCCCATAATCCCAGCACTCAGGAAGATGAGACAGAAAGCCTGAACTGCACAGTAAGATCCTGTCTCAAAAAGATTTTTTATTTTAAATAAATAAGCTGCATTTCCATACGACTGGTATCCGCTGTTCCCAGAAACTGAAAGCCAGGAGCAACTCCCCCTGCCCCATTAATCACAAGGCAAAAGCACCCCAGTGTTTTCCTAACCTACCTCTAGAGGGCAGTAGCCTTCCAGGTTGATGGAATTGGTGGCTGACTGCAGAGAAGGAAACAATTTCATTTGAAGTTTTTTGGGGTTTGTTTTTTTTTTGGAGACAGGGTGTCACTATGTAGTTGAGACTGACCTGGAACTCACTATGTAGCCCAGGCTGGTCTCAAACTCACAGTGATCCTCCTGCCTCAGCCTCCCGAGTGCTGGGATTACAGGCATGTGCCACCACGCCCAGCTCTCATTTGAAGTTTTAAAAATTTTTTTTTAAGTTTTATTTTCAATTGACATAATTGTATATATTTGTGGGATACAATGTGACATTTCAACACATATACACAAAGCCAGAAGTGGTAGCACAAACCTATGAGACTAGCTACTTGAAAGACTGAGGCAGTATCACAAATTAAAGTCCAGCCTGCATAAATTGGTAAATTCCTGTCTCAAAAGTTTTAAAACGGGGGGTCAAGCCAGGTGTGCTAGTGCACACCTGTAATCCCAGCACTCGGGAGGCAGAGACAGAAGGATCACTGCGAGTTCAAGACCAGCCTGGGCTACATAGTTGCAGGTCAGGCTCAACTACATAGTGAGGCCCTGTCTCAAAAAAACAAAATAAAAAGGCGGGAGGGAGGGTGTCAGGGATTTGGCTTAGTGTTCCACTGCCTGCCTCGAAAACACAAAGGCCGGAGTTGAATCCCTGGTACCAAAAAAAATTTAAATAGAACTGGGGCATGCCTAATTTTTGTACCCCACTGTGAAGAAGAAAAAGTCCTAATAGCTGGGCACAATGGTGCACAGTTGTGATCCCAGCACTTAGGCTAAGGCAAGCCTGGTCTACACAGTGAGTTCAAGGCCAGCGTGCATTGCATAGCAAGAAAGACCCTGTCAAAAAGCAAGAAAGTGTTCAACATATAATAGAGGTCACTAAAGATGTACCAAGAGCTAGAAAGTGTTAAACTTCTTAAAATAGAGTGTGTTAAAAATATGCACAATGATAAAGCAGATGATGTCAGAGATTTCTTGGACTTGAGAAAGTTAAGGGAAGTATGTGTGAGTCATAAAATAAAATTACTGAAGTAAATGCAAACGAGAAATTCTCACCGAATGCAGAGGAAAGGGCCAAAGAAATCAAGATATGAAAAGAGACGCAGAGGGCCTGTACAGAAGACAAACTCTACATATGACAGGACTGACACAGAAGACAAAGCAAATAAAGCTGAAACAAATGAAAAGGCTCACGGGATCCAATGAATTGAAATATACTGAAAAGGAAGCAACACCTAAACATCCTGTTGACTTTTTTGGATTTCAAGGATAAAGAAAAACTTGCAAGTATCCAGACAGAGAAAACTGGTTACCTATGACTGACCTCAGATTTTTCTCTTGCAATTCTAAATGCCAGAAAACTAGGCAACAATATCTACAGAGTTTTAAGGGGAGATAATTTTGAACCAAGAAGTATATACACTGCCAAGTTAGTATTTGTGATGAAGGCAACTGGAAGACAGTCTCAGATACCAAAGGGTTAAGAAAGTACTATAAACCAACCAAGAAACTTCTCCGAAAAATTTGCTGATGTTTTACTGCAGCCAACAAAAATTTAAAATAACAAAGCATGAGGGAGACAATTGAAAGATTTGACAGTAATCGCTGCAACAAGTTAGGGATGAAGTTTAAAATTGTTACATGCAGGATAATAAAACTAAGTGCAAAATAGATTAGTACAAGCTAGATCTAAAAGTTTCCGTTTAGTTTAAAAGTGTCCAAGTGCATTCCAAATATTCAATGTATTGGGCAAATAAATAGTTTTATTTTTTCCATGTACACCAAATACATGTAAGATCAAAGTGTTTTTCACTGTAGACAGAGCAAATAAAGACATTCGAAATGTTAATCTCACAAAATTGGAAAATGATAGTTGTATGTCCCTTATGTTTAATTACAGAAGAAAAAAAAAACCTATCAAGTCCATAATGTTAATACTGAGAGTGTAAACTGGGTGTCACGGCACATGCCTGTTATCCCAGCATTCTGGAGGCTGAGGCAGGAGGATCACCGTGAGTTCAAGACCAGCCTGGACTATATAGTGAGTTCAAGGCCAGCCTGAACTACATAGTGAGACCCTGTCTCAAAAAAAAAAGAAAAGGGCTGGGGATTTAGCTTAGTGATTCGGTGGCCTGCCTTGCAAGCGCAAGGACCCGAGTTCAATCCCTGGTACAAAAAAAAGAAAGAGAAAGGAAAGAAGAATTATCCCACCTCAGAAAAAAAGGAAAGGCTAACATGACAGTATAAAATGTGTTGTTTAAAGAAAGACAATGCAAAAATAATTTGGAATGAGGCTAGAAACTACTGTCCAGATTATAACATTATGTTGTGTATAGAACGGGTATTTTTGTTTTGTTTTTTGGGGGGTTTTTTTGGTACCAGGGATGAAACTCAGGACCAGGCACTTGCGAGGTACAGTGCAGTGCCGCTGAGCTAAATCCCCAGCCCAGTACTGAATATTTTAAGATATACCATACACAGAAAAATTACTGAATAAATTCGACAAAATTGTCATTTTTATATTTCCTGTCATATCCTATAAAAATTAATGAAAATATGCAAATTTGGGTCCGCCTGTATTTAAATAATTGTACCGGTAAATGGTTAAAAGTTCTGTTGTGTTGGTTTCTCGGTTGCAGTCAGTTTACTGATTTTTTTTTCAGTTTACTGATTTTGTTTGTTTGTTTGTGCAGCACTGTGGACTGAATCCAGGGCCTTTGCACTCAGCTGAATCCTGAGCCCCTTGGCTTTTCAAGTTGCCCAGGCCCAGTTTAAAATTTGCGGTCTAGGTTCTACCACCTGCCTTGAAAGCGCAAGGTCCCGAGTTCAATCTCCGGTACTAAAAAAAAAATTTTTTTTTTTTTGAGGGTCTTCTGCCTCAGTCCCCCAGAGTGCTGGGATAACAGGTGTGTGTCCCTGAGGCTGGCTGGTTTATTGATATTCTTAATCGGTTCATCTGAATAGGCAAGTTTCTCCGGAGTCAGTGATCATTTACACTGTAGCCAGGTAAGGAGAGTAAATTAAAGAGGCGTCAGGACGGCCCCTCAGTTCCGCGGAACAGAGGTTGTTTTGAGTGACTAGAAAACAAGTTTGTACTCGTTTGTGTCCTGGTCCTGAACCTTGTGGAGTTCGGCTTGTCGCTTGTGTCGATGACACCCGAAGTCAAATATGTACCATCGGAGAGCTGTTAACTCCTATGTGACAACAGGCTCAAAGTTTATTTTGAAAAGTTGGACATAATCTCCTTGCTTTTCTAATAAAACTAAAACAACAGCACCTCTTTGAAGTGACTGAGACACACGGAAGTTGCGACCCGCTTTCTCTGCGCTGGGCTGTGCGGCCGCAGTGGAAACCCTCCTCGCACGCCCGGCGATC